AGGATATTATTGAACATTGCAGTGAATACCAACTATCACTTTGCCTGGCATTCATTGACTTTCAAACAGCATTGACTCTGCTAAATTGAGTGTTATAACTGAAGCTCTAAGCTTTAAGTATGAAAGAATCTGTAAATGCTACAGCTACCACATACATAAATGAAAAGATTGCCTCCATTAATATATAAAAGAAATTCAACATTTATCAAAAATATTATTAGCAAGTTTGCAGACATATTCAAACAGCTGAACTGGTCCAAAGCAGTAATAAAGATCAACCAATTATGTTTGCCCAACATTGTTCTTTTCATCAACAATTTGAAAACCTTCAAAGATGAATAATCTTCAAAGATATATAAAAATGACAATGACAAGTTTTCAGACTTGAAAATGAACTTGAAGAAGAAACAAATCATATTTATAAGTACCAAAGTCAACAGCTATACCATACCTAACCTGCATTAAAAGATTACCATGGAGGTTAATATCATTCTGAATTAAATTTACAAATTATTAATCAAGTAAAAAATAAAAGTAATTGGGATTTCCTAGTGAATTGATTTTAATACAATGCCAAGCAAAAAAACAACAACAAAAGTAATGAAATAATAAAAGTAAACCAATAAACTTAATAAAATATGACCAACCAAAAAGTTATACTAAATACAACACTATCACAGAATACCAATAAAAAGAAACTAATGGATAAATAATGCTGACCTTCATAAAAATTACTAGGACCTTGGAAGATTAAATATGATTTCACATTTATTGTTAAAAATATACCTAGTCTCTTTCCCTTAATCACCATCTGTGTAGTCAGGTTATAGTCTAACCATTTATACAGTAATTATGAATGGGCAATATGGTGGCCTAGTGGTAAAAATGCTTGCCTCCCACTCAGAACTTGAGAGTTCATTTTTAGATAATGTAAGATGTTTCTCTCCTAGAGCACAAAGAAAAAACATCTGCTGTGATCCCCATGGTGCATCAAGAAAGGCATCGGGCAATGCTCAGCTCCATCCAGTTGTCCTGACTCTACCTGACTTAAGGGATAACAGAATTGTAAAAAGGGAGTTTTAAGTATGTTATGACTCACCTGTGAAACAAACTAAACAACACCTTATAGTAAAACTTAAATTGCTCTTTCTTTCACAACTAAAAGATGAATATTTTAAACAGCATTGACTGCCCAAACTAAATGAATAGAGTGGTTTTTTTTAACGAAGTTAAAATAAACCTGCTTTGAGGGAATTGGAGTGTGATATGACAAATATCATGAGAAAAACATCTAAGTCTAAAATAGTTGCTCATATGAAGCCTTTCCATAAACATTAACATTTATAATAGCTCCACTACCACTTTAGCACCTAATTCAAATATGATTATTGAGTCAAAGATAAAAGTGAAAAAATTGGAATGTACCTATAAAAAACCAAAGATAATGACAACTGCAGAGAACACACAGGTGAGGGTGCAAATCAGCAATGAGACCATTGAAACAATACAGGAATTCAGCTTCCTTGGTTCTAAAATTGACCAATGGGGTGACTGCAGCACTGAGATCAGAAGGCACATAACATTTGGAAGAACTGTAATGTCTGGCATCAATTAATGAATACAGATTAGTCAACAATAATCCAATTGCTACATATGACTGTGTAACTTAGACTCTGAAAAAGGAATATAGGACAAGGGTGGGCATCTTAAAATTGTGGTGCTGGACACAACTATGATGCATCTCATAATAGTTTGCAAAGCAGGAAATCCTAGACAAAGTCCTAGACCAAAAATATAACTCAAAGCGAAGATTGTCAAGCAAAGTCTATCATGTTTTGGCAAAGTCATGCAAGCCAAGTCACTCAAAAAGTCAATCATGTTGGGAGTGATCGGTTGAAAAAGGAGAAAAGGTCACCTTAGTACCAGTTGGCTTGACACAGGGATGATAAAGGAGGATCCGAAGGAGGAAGAGGGATATGTAAAGTGCTGATCCATAGAGTGGCTAAAGGCCAGATACAACTGAATGGCTAACAATGAAACATTGGTCAAACATTGAATGACTCACCTTCCCATGCATGTGCGCATATGCACACACACACACACACACACACACACACACACAGAGAGAGAGACTCTATTACCTTTGCATTCTATCCAAAGATACATTAACATAAATAATTGTGCATTGCCCATTAATGCATAACTTAGAAAATATATGTTCAGTTGGAAATGTCTATCTGTTGAACAATATTATTGTGAAAACAATGACTGCATGTTGACCACTGAATGTAGAGAGAAAGACCAAATTGTTTTTATTTTAAATGTCTGGCAAAATGGCAGCTTCCTCCGCATGTTTTTCTTTTAAAGTTCATGATAAATAAAATCTTCACGTAATGCTTTTCTGGATCACATTTTCTAAATGTGATCTTTAATTTCTTCTTCAGGTATAAGAGATCTGTTAGTGTAAAGTCCCAAAATAACTTTTCATTAAAGTTTATTGTAAAATTAGTTTGGAACCATTTTTATGAGGACTGCTGAATTTTTACATGTCAATTACAATGCTTTAGTAAAAAAAATATTAACTACTTGCCAAAATGTTGTAAGATTATTTAAATCAATGAATTACAATAATAATAAAATATTATTCATTTTTTAAAAAGAGTTTTAGAAAAAAAATATGTTTGTAAGGAAGAAATGCAAGTAGGTGAAGAAGTTTCACAAAATAATTTGGCAGCTTCAGTGCAATCTCCCCTGAAGCTAGGCTTCAATTTATTGCATATTGACTACACTTAGTACCATAAAGTTTGTGTAAAAGTTTTTGAAGTGACCTGGAAATGTGCTGAAACTTCAGAACATTTGTGACAGAGGTTCTGATTGTAAATTTATATAGAAGTATTTATATTATTAAATAAATGTTGCCTTGTTTAGGTTTCATTGGCTTGTGTGAGCGCCATCCACAAAATGCCAAACCTTCTGTTATTTTTGTCAATCAATTGCTCATTAGATGAAATGCTTTAGAAATTTATTTCTAAAGATAAGGAAACTAATGAAATAATTATGGACACTGTGGTTTTTATATTTATCTATCTAGTTGCTAGATTTTAGTAGGGATGCTTTGTGTAACATCATGCTATTATTTCTTAATTAATCAGCATTCTCAATGGCTCGCCACATTTTCCTAACATATTACAAAATTATATTCCAAAGAAAAACAATTACCAACCTAATCCAAAGGGAGACTCCCCTCAAGAACAAAGACACAGAACAGGACAACGGCATCACCCTCCTCCCTTACATCAAAGGCACCACAGATAAAATCAGCAAAATT